ACCCCGTTGCGCGTATCCGACTACTTGGGCATTCCCGATGCGTACATGGTCGGCAGGCCAGAGCTGCAGGCCACTTACTACTGTGGCAATGGATTGGCGGACCAGGAGCTCGTGGCCCGGCCGCCTTTTGTCCTGCGCTTCGCCAGCGATTCGCAGTCCAGTGGATCTGAAACGGGCTTCCAGCTGACCTACACGGTCCGCCGGTCACAGGATTCCCTGGCGTCCACAGATCTGTAAATTGGCATAAATAAAGCCGGCAGTCTTAACTAAATCAACGCACACAAGTCAACTGGAATTGACATTATTAAATGCAGCAGTGATACTGGCACTGTGAACCAGGACATTCCATGGCCACGGATTTGCCTTAATTAAATGCCCGGCTCCGGCATTAAGTCACATGTATCTATATATACAAATAAATTATGGAAACCCCAGTGGCATAAATGGCATGTGGTTGACACGGGAAACGGGTTCCATGGAATGCGGATAGAATTTCATAGTTGATTATTTTGATATATGCTTAACAATGAGAAGCTGGAGCAATTCATTGTCCTGTCCTTTCGAGCTACTAAAGAGAAAATAGTGCGGAGAGAATATTGCCTTGGTGCAGGGCTCGAATTGCGTGAATGTGTGCAGATATTTAATTGCGAAATTTAATCGGCGTGCTATTTGACGAATTTCTGATATGTTGCTTTTTGTAACATACGCATACGTATTTCCCATATCACTTTCCTAACGGACTTTAAATGGAATGTGTCTGCTTAATTGCAGATTTAAAAAACATTTTTATTAGTAAGAATATAAGTATTTCTTTAGGTACTGCCCGAAAACATATCAAACATACCTAGCATAACATAACTGTAAGGTTTACTTTCCCAAAATTCTTCGAAATATTTCGGGATCCCCTTGGTAACTTTAAATAAAATAGCACCGACAGCCACGTGGATATTTACATTTATAATTGCAAACTGGTGTAACTTGGATAAACTTGGATATTCCGGTGGAAGGACAGCCATTTGCCACCCCCTCAAACTTTTCACACACGGCTGCAGGAGCGGATGCAAAAGCTTTTTGGGGGAATGGGAGCCGGAACGCAGTGACATTTTGATGCCGACACAGCTGCCACAATTGCCAGTCCATGTATTTTTAATGAAAATTTAACAAAATTTCTGCGGTTTAAGTGCGAAAATTGTCGAAAGCGCGCAGAGCAGGTGGCTGATCGATACACATATACGTAAATTCGGCGGAAACGAACCCGGAAGTGCGAATTTTTGCGATTCAGTTGATGGAACACATACGCAAGCTGCTGCAAAATGTTGGGCAAATAGGGCCTTAGGCCAAACGGATATGAAAAGGGATAAATTCAGCATTAAAGGGGACATTGTTAAGTGTCTGGTAAACAGAATGAAATTGCATTTGCATCGATGACCAGAACACTGGGGAAATTGCCTTTCAAATATGCATAGTCATATGCTCCGACACGATGCCAAACAATGTGAGCCAGCTCTTTTGGTCTCTAACATCGACATCGACATCGACATCGACATCGACTACTTTCCCTCTCGAATTTATGTAGTCTTCTTTTGCTCTGGCCAACACTTTTGCTCGCTTAACGTTTCTATCCTGGGGCAAATTGTTTTTACCCGACCAGTCGACAAAGATGCTCCAGCATCTTGGACCATCTTCCTTTGGGCCACCTTTCGCCTCTGGCTTTCTGCCAGCTGAGCAGAGAACTTTAAGCCTGGTCATAACCCAAAGTGAAAAGCCAGCTGGGGAATGGAGCCTCCATTTCATATGGCACTCGGGCTTAATGGTCACTTCATAAATGCAGGCAATTCGGACGTTCGACACACACTGCGTATGCGTAATGAAACTTTGTAGATGCAAAAAGCCATGATTGTTGGCCAGGCGCCGTTTTAATTGCGGAATTTTTAGAAGCGGTGAATAACTGCGAAATTTCATTATAAATTGGCTTCTAGCTAAGTAGCCGCATATTTGATTACATGCTGTTTTTTCAATTAAAACACATCTGCTATCAGTTTACAAACTTTATTTTAATTTTAAAACTAAACTAACTGGTTTTTTCACGTTCGGACATGTTGGCCAACAGAGAACTATAAGCATAAATTGTTTGGTTGCCTCTGCCACCATAGCCAATGGAAGCGAAATTCCAGAATGTTTTTTAGATTGAATTTTTAAATTTTTTCCCTCAACACTCATTCGGCAATTTTTTCTCTGTTGTTTTGGTGTTAGCCCGAAATGGTCTATGTTTATTTAATCATTTTCTCACTGCAGATTTCCCCCTCTGACGCTGTCAACTTTGTAACATCTGACCCAACGCCAAAGGCCCAATGCAATTTACGCTGCCAACAAAACAAAAAAAGGAACCATATTCATAGCACATGGCATAGAAAATTGTTACAAACATTCCCTAAAATAAAAATGCCAGATGCGGTTTCAACATTGTAGTTACAATGTCACAAATTATTAATTGCTAACGGATTTATTTATTGGCGGGCTGGCAGCTAAATTTAACATACATATTTCACAATGCTTTCATAAACTACTTTGAGGCCTGCGAAGCTCTATGAAAACGCAGCAATATTTTATGCAGGTACTTCTATAGCACTAAGCCGTGAATATTTGATGAAATTGTGTACCGATTACTCAAAGAATACCTAAATGGGCTCAAATATTACTTTAATGTCTGCCTCAGCGCGGCTCAAAACACAAGCATTTACACAAACTTAAATGCCAATTAAGTAACATTAAATTGTGCGAAAAATGAACGCCACAGAACACGTCCTTGAGCCGAAAGAGACTGTCAACAATGACAAAGGAAGAAATTAAGCAGCTAAACAGGGTTTTATGGACGGGCGGCAGAAATAAACAAACAAGTCGCTGCCAATGGAACCTCCGGAAAATCTGTAAGCCACGGCAACATGACACTGGCCAGCTCACACCCTAAAACACACTTGGACTTGTCCCTCATACAAAGGACCAGGCCGAAGCCAAAGCCAAAGCCAGAGCCAACAACATAATCTACGGGTTGTCAGCAGCCCAAAAGACCATAAAGGCAAGGCAAACGAGCTGAAGGTCGCTGGGCAGGAGGAGGGCACAACCAACCCACCCAAAGTGGGTGGAACGGGAGGAACAACAAACAAATTAGTATGCAAGTCAGGCAGCCGATTAGGACACCGAAGTTTTCGCGACACAAATGGACGCCAGGCCACAATGGAAACATCCCATCCCAGCACATCATGCCTTTCAAGCTCTTTTTTTTTTTGGTTTTTCGGACTTAGCCAAAATAATGAAGTCGGTCACTGACGCGATCTGTTGCTTGTTATGCCTAGAGAAAAAACCGCAGGAGCATTAAAAATGTTATGGCAAGCACAGGTGAGTAAACTGTTTTGATTTCTTGATACCCAAGTCGCTGCACAGTTATTTTATGAAATGCTTTTTATTATAGTTAAAAATACCATTTACATTAAGTTATTTTTACAATAAAATAATACTTTCATGATTGCTGGTATCAATCAGGTCAAGACGTTCTCAAAAATAAAACTCCCAAGGAACGATTATATTTGGGTATCATGGGCATTAAAAAAGTATTAAAATGTCAGTAAGTCTACGCACCTTGACAACCAATTTGAAAAATTAAATGTTCTTGTTGCTGGTCACCATTTTCTTCAGACTTTTCTGACAGACTGTCTATTTTTAAGTTATTTCGGGTTCTCTGTCGCCTTTGGGCATTGGTTAAATATTTCATTAAAAATTCCACGCACAATTGCACATTGCTGTGGTTCCTTGACCAAGCATAGAACAACCAAAGTGGAATAAGTCCCTATTCAACCTTTAAAATGACAGTGCCCAGAGAATTTTTAATGAATTTAAACTGAATTACGACCAGAAAATAGCCACTGTAAGGCCTTCAGTGTCAAAAGAAAATGAAATGAAAATACGCAGAATGTAGCTTTATTGGGTAAAAGTTTCACACTTGCGTAAATAAATAATAACTGACACAAGCTCAGCTGTAAATCAAATGCTGAACCACAATTTAAAATAGATAATCTGATAAAATGGTTCTTTTCAAGCCGAGCACAGAAATGATGTAAAATAAATTTTAATAAAAATGCTGTGCAACCCTTTCATTTAACCTCTGTCAATTTGTCAACACATTTTCAAATTAAAATGTACACGTATTTCAAAATTTCATTACTATGTAAGTCAGTATTTCATTTAAAATGAAATTCTTACTTGTGCGCAATGTGTACAAACATTACTTCATAAGGAGTAAGGATTTAAGACAATAATTTAAAGCAATTTTATGCTTGGATAAGATACGCAAAATAAACACCCAAGCCTATTACTAATCATTTGTATTGGTTATTAAATATTCGTAATAAAGGAGTCATTAAATAACGTTCCTTATTACCTTGTTGCCCCGACAGAGATTTAGTTAAAGCTTTGGCCGACACATACTGGCAATCATATAATTTTCATATTTTCATACATTGTTTAACTTGTTCCTTCGTCCTTTTCGTGGGCCACAAACAATGTGTGTGCAAAACGTAAGTTTGCGTGCTTGGTGCATATAAATTAGTCGCTTATAATATTCTTTTGGCATTTTTCAAATTTCCAGTTCGGTATTTGCCGGCTCTGCCTGGTGAAAGAGTTCGTACGCCATAAAGTATGCAGCTTACGTGCTCAAGGATTTCTGCCTTCACGGCTGCTTTGCATAGCATGAACGAACAGCAAAAAACAATTATTAACATATTAATAAATTTTAGCATATTTGAAAGGCCATAATTTAGTGTAATTCTAGATGCCTGCAGCTGGGCAACACCTGGGGGAAATTGGATAATCCAGCCAAGCACGTAATTTGCATTTTTTATGACCAGGCCTTAAAGAGCCCTGACTGATTACGGCCTTAAACAATGCCAAAATTTCCTAGTGATTAGCGAATTTATTGCTTTGTTAGCCTAACAGTCTTATCAGTTTTAAGTGCATTTGACTTGTTCGTCGGGCCTTTGTTCGTTGTGCCATTTCTTATTTTTTGTGATGAATATTCCAATTGCGACTATTGAAATTCCAAAAAGAACCAGGCCAATTCCTATGTACATTCCTATACTCGCAGCATTCAGCGCAAGCTATTAAATAAGACATTACATTTTGTTACTCATAGATATTTTCTTATTATTATCTTACCTTCAATAGCCTTGTAAGATCCTCGTCTAATTCCGCGTGCAATCTCATTGTAAAAAGGGGTGCATAATGATCGTAGGCCACGTTCTTGAACAAGCTAGAAGGAAGAAAATTTAATTATATTAAATACATTACAAATATTTTTAATTAATACTTGACTCTGCATTGTTGTTAATATTTTCTTTGTCTTGAAGCTGATACAAATTAAGGAGAATTACACAGGTAGAAGAAGGCGATTTTGAGTTGCTGTATTAATACTTAAAGGACTTTCTTGTAAAAGTTTAATTATTTATTAAGCTTTATTAGTTAAGTAGTCTCTGTCAATCGCACTTTTCATCAATTACCTGTGTAATTGTCTTCAAGACCTTGCAGCGCCGAATAAAAACTCACTCAATGGCCTCGTCGCGCACCACTTTCGTGCTAATCATGAGCTGCCCCCTCAGGCTCATTGGGATTCCAAGAGTGGGCTCCATTATCACATGCATGCCGTGCTGGGACTCCTCGGGTTGCAGGCCGGTGGTGTTCTCCCTGTACATTCTATCTGTGAGGAAAAAGTGCGGATGCGACATGTAGAACGGGCCATTGAAGGCGGCAGGACCGTAATCCAGGACTCCGTTGCGCGGACACTCGCGATTCTCGAGGCAAAAGCACTCAGTGTCCGGCGACAACTGGCCATTGTCGAGGGTAAGATTGGTGGACTCATAGCGCCAGACATCGATGCCGTCGATGGTGAGGTTTTCCTGGGGAAACAAGTTCAAGTACCGCGCAGCATCTGGTAGGAAAATGGAAGTGGGCTGATCCCACTTCCTGTACGGCGACCAGAGTTCCCCCGTGCTGCCATTGACCTTGCCGCACTCGCCGGGATAAAGGCCAGTTGTGTCCTTTCCATTCCACAGGAGCAGATCTCCCAGCTGGCTGAGATCCCCATGGCCAGTGTGCACTGTAAAGTTGCCCTCAGCCGTCTTCGAGTTATTCCTCTGATAGAACCAGCCGAAGGTGTTGCTGTACACCGGGAGCAGAGGCGAATGCAGCTGCTCCACAAAGTCAAGCAGATGGTCGTAATAGCCTTCGAATAGCCAATGGCCAGCTGTGTGCGTCATGTGGGTGGCGCCGCCCTCGCGATTGAGGGCAAAGTTCATGACCTTGCGCAGGATGCGGCGCAATTGGCGCGAGTACAAAGCAGCTGTCTAAAGCGGATAGTGGGATTAGTGGGGGTTACTGGATGTGGCGACAGATATTTGGTCAGAGACTCGGAATAAATCAACAGGAATCCTTTCAAGAAGAACAGCACCATTTCATGAAAAAGGGTGATGCCTTTTGTAAAACAAAACAACTCCAAATTAAATGCAGGATTCTTTGTCAAGTATTCACTTAAATAATTGAGTTACAGATTACTTGTCATATTTTGGCATCTTATTTTATATTTTAACCCGACTTACCAAAGATGGAAAGTGTGGCGCTATAACCACATCCTCAAGCGATCCATTTGACTTTTCCGGTAGAAAGTGCCAGGTGCGTTTGCCGAAATAGGTCACCTGGGACTGATTCCACTCCAAATCTTCCTTGACCTTAAAGTCACTGAAAGTGTAAGGCCCCAGCTGCTCAAAGTGCGGCTTAACGCCCTCGGTGTTCAAATCCCCCGGATTAGTCCAGTTAAAGAGGAAAACTGTGCTGTATACCGGCATGGGCGTGGTCACCCAGCGATTGTATATAAAGGAGTTGGGAGCCAAGGGCAAAAGACTGCGAATCCAATGCCGAGATAAGGCTGGCCAGGCTGAGGCCAGAAAAATCCCAACAGCCAGGATCAGGCCCCCCAGGGAGAAGACCCAGATCTTTTGCTGGCGTACACTGCAACAACCACAACACATCGCCTGCGATCGATTTTTTTACTGGTACGTCAAGCAATTTAGCCGGTGTTATTTATAGGCGACCCCACTGTTGGGATACATTGATGTTCAATAATGGAACTGCAAGATTAGATTTCAAGAGCGAATTGATTCTTTTATTTTTATATTTGCTTTAAATCGCCCACTTGGAACGCTCCTGATAGGCTAATCTCCAAAAGCTTTTCACAATACAGCTTTTCAAGAGGCTTGTTTTAGGAGCTGAGTTAAATGTTATTGAGTACTTTAGTTTTCGGATTACTTTTACTTTCACTCATACACTGTGAAAAAGGAAATACACATTATATTTCCCTTAGTATAACTGAATTACTTTTAATACAATGAAAGGGATCACTATATGTATTATACTAAAAATTTTTTGATTTTTTAAAATTAATTATAAATATTAATTAATTCAAAATTTTACTTAAAGAGTTTACTTAATTTTGTGAATAAGCTCGTATGAAATCTTTGTAACCTTTCATAAAAACACCGTAGAAAAATATAAACGGTAATTAAATACTTGTGATGTTTTTATTATCATAAAATCAAGACATAACATTTACTTGAGTTTCCATATTTTATCAATTAAATTTTTGTATTTACTATAAAATAAAGTTAGAACAAAAAAATATTTAGAGTTATTTATCACATAACGTTTTTCGAAAATTGTGAGCTGCTCATCAAAAGAAAATGTTAATACTAAATTACAAGTTTCGCTGAACCACATCGGCCGCTATTTCCGGTTCGCCTGGAGTTTCCTCGTTATCCTTGAGAGCCAGTTTGTCCATCTCCGCCTGGCCATACCACTTCCTTTTAACGGTAAGTAAGACGCCAGTTGCTATAAGAATGCAGCCCAGGCACAGGAATCCCACTCCAGTATATCTCCCAATAGCGGGCAGATTGAGCACCAACTAAAAATGAACATGCAATATTTAAAATTTAAAAATGATAGGGTAACTAGCAATGATGTTCTTCCAAACATACTCTGAGTTCTGAGGAGAGCGCTTCGTCGATTTCGGCTCGACTAGCGGTGGTGAAAAGAGGTGCATAGAAACTCGGAAGGCCCTTCAGTATGCTAAGGAAAAATAAATTTGAAAAGTCAAAAATATTGTATGCACCGATTATTGTAGGCAATTACTCTATGATGCTGTCTGCCTCTATGTACAAGGTGATCATCACATTGGCATTGACCTTCAACGGCACTCCCATCTTGCGCTCCATGATGATATAAAAGTTATTTTGGTCATAATTGGGATGGTAGCCGTCAATCGTGCTGCCATAACTTTCGTCCGCGTACATAAAGTGATCCGCAGATAGGTACATGGGAACTCCACTGGCACAAGGTCCCAAGTCAGTGGCTCCGGTGGCAGGACAATTATTCGGTTGGCTTTCCAAGGGACACCAGCACTTCGCGTCACCATTGATCTGGCCATTGTCGAAGGTGTTCGGTGTTATTTCGTACTTCCATCCCGTGATGCCCTGGATCGTTTCGCTCTGACCTGTGAACTCCAGATTTATGATCCGACAAGTGTCCGGAATGAAGATGGTCAAGGCCTTCTCCTTGGGCTCATCGGGCACAAAAAGGTCTGTGGTGCTGCCATTGAGACGTCCACACTCGCCTTCGTACCAGCCCGTGTGATTCTGACCCTTCCAATACTTAATTTCACCCATCTCCTTGATGTCACCCACTCCGGTGTGAACAGTGAAGGGACCCTCGAAGTCCTTCGACCCATTACGGTTGAGGAACCAGGCAAAGTGATCCGACTCGATTTTTGGGGCCAATGGATTATTCAGGCTCATGGCGTAATGCAGGAACTCGTCGTAGAAACTTTCGAACAGCCATTCAGATGCCGTGTGGGTCACAAAGAGATGTCCACCATTCGCATTTAGAGCCTCGTTGAACATGAATTTCAGGAAGACGTTGCTATTCCGCATTTGGTTTGAAGCTGCCTGTAGAAAATAAATTACATAACCAATTTTGTGGGTTTTTAACTGATTGTTGCTCACCAAGGAAGGCAGGTGTGGGGCCGTAATTAAATCAGTTTGCTTGCCGCCGGAGAGCTCCTCCTCCCAGAACCAAGTTCTCCTCGGGTTAAAGGTCACTGTTCCATTGTCGTGCCACTCAAGATCCATCTTCTTCCTCTCCTCCCGATAAACATAGGGTCCCAGTTGCTCGAAGGAAGGTTTTACTCCATTAGCCTGCACATCTGCGGCATTGGTCCAGTTCCACAGATACATGTAGACATACACCGGAATGGGCAGCTCCTCCCATTTTTCAAAGGTCTTTGAAGTGGGTGTCAACGGCAAGGCCTTTTAATAAACCGATTAGTACTCCTCATTTCCTCCATTTACACACACCGCCTCTCACCTTCATGACCGCCGAGTCTATAAAGCCAGGCCAGCAAATTATGGCCAGCAGTCCGGAGACCGCGAAAAAGATTCCCAGGCCAAAGACCCAGACCTTTTGCTGGGTCACCCCACAGCAGCTGCAGCACATATTGAGACGAAACAAAGGCTTCCGCGTGACTGCGAAGTGGAAAAGTATCACTAGTGCTTTTATTCATGCACCGCTTAGTAGATTATGCACTAGTAAATAAAGCAGCGGCTAATCAGCATGTGTACTGTAGTAGTTGTACTGCTCAGCTGATACGGGGGGTGATTGGGTACTAAGTGTGTGTTTGGAGTGCCGAAAATCGTGATAAATGCAAAAGCTGCACTTGGTTTATTGTGGGTGCTGGCTAATCAGCCAGACTAACGCTAGTAGCTACTTCGGGCTGCCACATACCGAGTACCACTTGGCAACTACATAAGACTTAGAGATACATGGTACAAGGTGTTAAGGAGTATTAAAAATCGCGTATACAAAGTTCAATAGAGACACATGTCGGGTTTACATTTACATGGATTTTATTGCAGAGATTTAGTTTAGCTGATCTTAAAACTCATCATTTCATTTAATGAAATTACATGCTAAAAACATATTAAAATCGAGTATCCGAAGTCCAATAGAGGCACATGTCGGGTTTTATTTTTACATGGTTTTATTTTACAAATTGGATTTTATTTTACAGGTTTAGCTTAGCTAATGAGTTTTAAATGAGTATTTAATGGAATTACAGAGTGCCTCTTAATGCGCCCAATAAATTACTTGAAACTAGTTGATTACACTATTAAAGCGGTCAACTATTTTTGCCTTGAGCCTCGCCATCTTATCGGTTATATAGCATGTATGCTTGGATTAGTATTTGCAATGCAATTTTATTGTCAAGCACTATAAAAGATCACTTTCGAAGACGGTAATCTAATCTGCCAAAATGAAATTCGATTAATCTCATTACCCAAAGCCGTTTTGACTAATCAACCACCTGGTTTCTGAGGAGCATTTGAACCACAAAATTTACCCTGACTATTGGAAAATAATAGGAGTGAAAGGCGTTATCGTTAATATTGGCGACTAATTGAAGGTGGGACAAACCATTCGAGTGCAAAAATTTCCAAATTAAATGGTTGCGGCTCAAGTGTGTTTGCTTAAATTTTACATTTCCAATTCCCACCCAAAAGCTCACCATATTAAATTAAATTGACCATTTTCCTTACTCAAATTCAGTTCAGTAAACTTCCTCCAGCATAGTGGCCAAGTATTAATTAGGCTGCTTCTCGGCTTCTCAGCGCAGCAATAATTGGAATTACTAAGCCACAAAAGCAATGCCCACTATTAGTAAATGAATAGATTGCACTGGCTTCTGTTGATTTCCCCATTGCACTTCGATGTACATAATCAGCAGACATTGCAGATATCAAATACTAGGAAATGCCTTGGTAGGCACATTATTAAATATTTAGTGCGCATTCCATCCAAACTTTCAACGCTGCAAGGTTTTGAGCTGGAACATTTCCAAATACGCCGTGCTGAATGCAATACTATTCTCCAAAATACGTACATAAACTTTGTTCATATTTAATTGTTAGTTGAGTTATAAATATAATACACATACACACATATATGAATATTGGATTTGCTATATAGGAAGAGTACGACGACTGCAGTTCAGAACATTTCAGCAACATCAGCATTTTTTAAGATCTACAAAAATCGGTTGACTTGTAGAAATACGCCATTTTTTTCGTTGGTTGAGGTAGCCCCTTCAGTTTAGGCCTCAATGGAGCCCTCGGCTTCCAGTTGGGCCTTGCGACTTGGCTGCAAAAGATCAAATGCCTTTCAGATAACGTTTCACATATTTGGCCCGAACTTCTTGTTACCTTCGGGTGCATCAGAATAAATGGCAGCTCAGCGCAGAGCTCGCCGCCCAAGGCGCCCAGGAAAAGCTTGACCTTCACAGCATACGAAACAATTATGCCAAAGGCGTCCCTCGCGTCCTGACTGGCAATACTGAAATACATTTAAGAACAATAATAGATAGTCAAATTCAATTGAATGTCTCTCTTTTCCGAGCTATAAAGTGAATGGATTTGATTGGGCGATACTCACAGTGTTGTCGAGGCCAGAGCCGTGTCCTTGCGCTTAATATCACCCTCTACGGCGATGCCCGCGCGGTCACAATTGGCCACCAGAGTGGGCACCAGGTACATGACCTTCTGCAGGCTGGATCCCGGGTTCAGTGGACAGCCCTCGCTCGTCTCCATGAAGGCGATCGTGTTGCGGAACTGACCGTTCTGGAACAGGACCACATCGACGCCCTGCTGCACCATGGCCTTGATCTTCTTGACCACCTTGTTGGAGTTGTTGCGCACGCAGATGTTCACCGAGATCTTCTCGCCGTGATGGTACAGCTGCTTGTCGAGGGTGACCTCCAGTTCGAGCTCCCCGGGCGACAGGAGGAAGTCCTTGCGGACGACGGTGCAGGGCTGGATGCCCTGCTTGGTGGGTGCATACTGCACCTTGCGGATACCCAGGTTAATGGTGCTCCTGCGATGCGATCGATCGCAGTCACTGTCCCCGGTGAAGATCTTGACGAAGTACT